AGCTATTAATGCTCATAATTAGACTTGTAAGAAGTGCAGCCTGACATTTGCTCTTGCCATTTGGCACTCCAAGAAGCGTTGCAGTAAAGCACCCCAACAACACAGACAAAGATCCACCGTGTAGCCTTAACAGACTGTTGGGGTAAGTGTTGTTAGAGAGCAGCTCCTATTAAGGCCGGCACGACACACAAGGGGGATTGGCTAGCACCAAACCCGGCTACCTTTGTCTCCCCAGTAGCAATGTTTACACACCCACCAGGTACTCGTTTAAGGCTGAATCGATGTAGGGGAGGCCCAGGAAGGGTTCAAATAAACGCCATTAATCGGTGGTGAGCAGGAATCGAACTCGGGTTGGTGGGTCCGTAGTGCAGCACACTAGTTGCTACACGACTGTTCCCCGCCAAAAAACACACATACACTTACATTTTGATTTAAAGCTTTCGTGACTGCAGGGATTCATATTCTTGGTTCTTTTGGTAAAGTCACGTAGAAGGGAAACAATAAAATAAAAAAATATAAAACAATAAAATTCTCACGACGTTTCGACTGCAACACAAGCAATCATCATCAGGTGTGAAAACCACAGCAAGGAAATTTGAAAAAAGTGGCGGTTTTTTTAACGTTAGCACCACGGAGAGCGATTTGGCAGTTATTCAGATGGACGAGTCCATCTATGTTCGGAAAAGAGGAGGGGGGAGAAGAAAATAATGGATGTGGTCTGAAAGCCACCGTAAGCGTGAACAATCAATTAAGACCCGAAATGGTTTGTCAATTCATTCCAATGATTGCTAAGCCAGAATCCATCTTCTCGGTTGAAATTGTCTCTGTGTTTGTATATGTGGATAGCCTCATGAACGAATCTCTCATGGTAGCCAGATGGCTTGCAGAGAACCTCTGTCTTGGAGAAGTCAATGTCATATGAGCCTACTGAATTATAACAGTGATCTGCCACGGCCGAGGTGTTGGTCCGCATCCGTGAACACAAAGCAGACCTAAAACACGGTTTTATATAATTTTATTGTTTCCATTCAACGTGACTTTACCGAAAGAACCAAGAATATGAATCACTGCAGTAACAAAAGCTTTAAATCCAAATGTAATAGATGGACTCGTCCATTTGAATAACTGCCAAATCGCTCTCCGTGGTGCTAACATTAAAAAAACGCCACTTTAAAAAAATAATTGCTGTGGTTTTCACACCTGATGATGATGGCTTGTGTTGCAGTCGAAACGTCGTGAGAATTTTATTTTTTATATTTTTATTTTATTGTTTCCCTTCTACGTGACTTTACCGAAAGAACCATAATTACACACACACTTGTAGAGGTCTGCCAACGCTCAACCATTGAATTTTTATTTATTTCTACTGGAGGAGTCCGATGAGCTATGAAGCTTTTTGTTGACAGATGTGAAACCTACGCATCTGGGCGAGACTCTCACGCCCACTCGATGTGTCGTTTAAAATGAGCAGCAATCTGTAACACGTTCTGATCGATTGACTGGCTGGATCAATCAAGTTTTCGGCCAATCACATTGCTGCCGCCACGGCAGCTGCTATCAAGGCAACACGACCTCCAGGCACGGGGCCTGCCCCTTCCCTCCCCTGGACACGCATGGGCGAACACATGACTCAGTTTAGAGTAACTCAGCCCAGGGCCACTGAGATCAGAGCGACGTGAGGTCAGAAGCATGTGGAGCTCCGAAATTTGAAATTTACATCTCGATCCTTCCATTTGTGAAATACCACAAACTCGCATATTTCGCTCCCGTAACACATCTGGACTTGTTGAAGCTAAAATTGTAGAATACGACGTATCCATTGCAACACAAGCAATCGTCATAAGGTAGAAAACAAACCTAGTGAACTTAGAAATACAATACAACACAGAGAGTCGGCTAACACAACAGTCAGCATCTTACCTGGTTGATTACGTTGTGTGTCTCTGTGTTGTCTCTCTCTGCTTATGTGTCTGTCTGTGTGTCTCCGTGTCTGTGTTTTGTCTCTCTCTCAAACTTAGCAATCTTTGGAAGAACGTAATCAACCAGGTAGGGTATTGACTGTTGCGTATGTTAGCTGACTCTCTGTGTTGTATTGCATTGTATGTCAAAGTTCACTAGGTTTTATTTCTACCTGATGACGATTGCTTGTGTTGCAATCGAAACGTCGTATGCTACGATTTAATTTAATTTCTACGTCACTTTACCGAAAGCACCAAAGGGTAATTCCTGCAGTCACGAAAGCTTCAAATCAAGTCTAAAATGGTAATTGTAATATTTTATAGATTTATATAGTGCCTTTGAAACAATTATCAAATTGTACATAAGATCATAGCGGTTCAAATAAAGTGTGGTTATAGTTGTTAACTTGCCTTGCACATTAAGCAGGTGCCCTCCTTAACCACCTCTTAAAGCCTCACCCACCTTTTCTCCAGCGCCCAATTCTCTTCCTTCCCCTCGCCCCTCCACTCCTCCCGGTCCCCTACATTTTCGTGATCGTCAAGTACCCCACTATCGCTGTCACTCATTCCCTGTAGTACTGACCCCTGGCAACTAGATCGTTCCATTCCGCCATCGTTGCGTAAGCGATGTCAAGCGCCTCGAGTGAAGGCGCTCGAAAATTATAAATCAGATTGCTTACGTACAGTATTATACAATTGCTTAATCAGCTATTGTCAAACGTCTGATTCCTAAAAGTTGACAGGCAGGTCTGCGTGTATGGGATACATCTCCAAGTGCATGGCCAACGCAAACTTAACCACGGACCCAATGGGCTGGAACCACACGTTGTCTTCACCACCGCATTTGGTGCACCGCAGAGTAGAACATTTCCAATTTTTAAAATGTCACCTAATCTTCAGGGTCGAAAAAAGTGTAAACCGTTGCAATTTCCCACAATTCAACATTTAACGACGCACCCAATGGGATAGAAATCGCTAAATAGGGGGTCAGCAAAAACAAAGATCCCCGGTGCATGTTAATAACCGACACTAAAACATCACTTGCAGTCCTATCGAAACAAAACCGAAAGTGTGACATTGGCTTCCTCAGGCACCAATTCAAGGGGTGTATCCAAGACATTCCCTCCGCGCTACAAAGATAAATAAAGGGGTGTTGTTCCCTGCAGTGCGTCTCATTAGCATGCACACAGAGCTGCCCTGGTGAGCGTCAGAACCGTGAACTCTTGGGTGTTTAAAGGTGCACACTTTCTGAGGCCGAAACCAAGGATTCCAAGTTCAATCATTTCACCTTCGCCCCGCCGAGATGCATTAAAATGACAACATCAATAAAAAAAACCCCGCTGTCCTCGGAGAGGATATTAAGCCTGTCATTACGGTCCCCTTTCCCTACACATGTGAAAATAACCCATTATTCTGTTCAAGATAAGCCATCGTGTTCCCGTGTTTGGCCACAATCTCCGCTGAAGAAACAGCTCCTCGCGGGAGGACCGCCTTATGCAGACCAATGGTGATGGCGTTGCCATGGATACAATGTTTATTCAACGAATTGACAAAAATAATCAATCATATGATATCTCAATTGTGCTAATGTGGTCTTGTCACGGGGTGAAGAGACATCCTCATTTCAGCTGCTTTACTCAGCTGAACTTTGCTTAATGTCGGGAAATGGTTCTGGAAGATGAACTGAAGTGAGATCACGCACCCTGAACCAGATCCACACCACCCATGCACGATGCAGCCATCGGCGATTCAAGTGGGCCCGGTGGCTAGTGGGAAAACCGGGCCAGACCGTAGTGGGCCACATTGTGAACGTCGTGATCCTCGGTGATATTCAGCAGCGGTCCGTTCAGCTTCCCCCACCCCCTCCACCTAGGCTGTGCTTTGGCCACCAGACCTGGACGTGGACTCATGAGTTGCTTTACAAGAACAAGTCTCCTCTGTAAGCTCCCCGTAACCAAAACTGCACAGTGCTCCTTCATCCCCTGCAAATGATGATTTTCCGCACGCCAGTCACCAGGTATACATTGCAACCCTCAAGGGAGCAAAAACCACGTGTTTACTCGCCTTTTGATGTCCTTGAGAATTTGCCGACTGCTCACATTTGAATCTAAGTTCTCCCAAGTTGCTGGCTTAGTGCTAACGTCGACTGATTGGTGGACTTTAGTTCACCAGGTGAGCACCCACTTGGGGTGTGTCTAGGTCAACAAGGTACACATTCATCAGCCACCCAATCACCTCGACAGAGGCATCGATTAACGTGTTAATTAGACTATTAAACATCAAGGCACGTTCACGGTAAATAAATTCTCACGTGTATACACCAAGAGTGGTTGCAAAAAAAAAACACGTTTAATTCAATACCACGTATACTTTACAATGCAACAGAAATACAGTTTGTACACGTATTTATTTTTCAAACATCTAAATGCCACCACATCTAAGACACTGCGCGAAGAGCGAGGCGGCACGTGCGTCGTCATATTTAGAAAAAACTTGGTAATTCCTAGTGAGGTGCGGTAGCAAGCGGTACGAGTGCACAGGACAGGGAGATGAAGACGTCTAGAGCACATTATATAGGCCAGAATGACGACACAGGGTGCTGAGATGCAGGCTGGAGACAAGAGGAGAGCCTTAGGCTTGGGTTCGAAGAGGGTTAAGGCTCCGGCAGTGAAGGTAATCAGTTGAAGGGAGTTCCAGTCGGAAGCAGCAGTAGCAGCAGGGGTCGACTGGGGGTTTTGAACAGGGGTCTCGGTTGCTTGATTGCTGAAGCAGAGAGCACGGGGGGAAGGGAGGAGGACAAGACGAGAGGCGAGAAGGAAGACAACGAATCAGACCACAGAGGATCGTGAAGGCAGTGAGGCGGTAACCCCAGGCGCGGTTCCCGGATACCCACCTCCACGTGTGCCGTGCCGGCCGCAGGTAGGTGCCAGCTAAGAGCACTTGCCCCAACGGTCCGTTACAGGCTACACGGGGGACCTTTGTCTGTCGCACGCGAGCGCACACGCTTGACCGTGACGATGAACGCGCAGTGTCCGAACTCACTTGAGGTCCTCCAGCAGGCACGAGTAGAGGGAGAGGAGGGAGGCCGTCACGTGCATGCGGGACGTTTTCACGACGGCCCTGCATTGCTTCTCCCCGTACTCGAGGCACGCAGGCAGCAGCCACTCGAACAGCAGCTGACAAAAAAAAAACACCGCAGCCAATTTATTCTACAGCAGACACCCAACCACTGCATCTGACACACCGCCTCCCCCCAACTGGCTTATTGCCTTGCGCACAGAACAACGGTGTAAATATGACGCGTTTTAAAACCAACGGGCTGCCCTACCACGAGCGGGCAAATGCTCTCGCAGGTTGTGAACACAAGACACCAGGATTCGTTTATATCCGACAGAGCGATATTTCACGAGGAAGTGTTTTTGTTGTTGTTGTTACACCCCCCCCGCTCCCCATGCCGTCGGATAAATGAGAGCATTCATGGCAGCACCTCAATAAGACACGTGACAGATTAATCGTTTTTTTGGGAAGCCTGCAGTGAGGACGTTTTTTTCCCCTCTCTCGATAGGCGCCAGCCCTTCATATCTCGTGCAATGGCTTGGTACCAGGTCTACACATTTACAAGTGCATGAAACAATTGTATCATACACCATTATTTTCTCCGAGTGTGTGTATATATATACACACACACGAATACAAAGTGTTCCCCCATGCCCAAAATAAGTACTGCGCTCGTTCTCATTCTCCTTCCTTGCCAGTGAAAATGTCTTATTCCTATGGTGGAGGGAGGTCAGTATATCTACAGAATGCCCACTTTTTCACACGGGAATGGATCATGTGTTGAATCAGCCCTTGACCAGGTTTGAACCACTTTGCCCCAATGGCGTGTGGCCATATACGTAGTTTTGAAGGACGCTAAAAGCACAAACACGGTACTCTGAATGTACGGTGATGTGTCCCATTTCCCAGTGCACCGACGGTTGTATGAAATGAACCGAGCTTGGAAATTTTTACAACAACAAAGTGGTCTCTTAGACTCGACTCCTGCTCACTTAAGACTATCATCACTTTTTATAATATTTCTCAAAAAGTCGTACCCTCCACTAGTGTGTGTAAGCATGAGTGTTTTAGTACCCTGTGTAAATCCACTGCTGGATGATGGCCTTCTGAACAGCGTGTCGGTGTTGACTTTGGGTGGGGAAAGGTTTGGTGGGGGAGCAGAATGATGGCGGATATCACTCAGAAACGTTAGCCATTGGTTGGGAATCAAACTCAGGTCTGCTGGCTACTGACCAGTGCACCACTGGTCCCACTACCCATATATATACACACACAGGAGCATCGTAGCTCATTCACTGGGCTACAATTCTGAGATCTGACGAAATTAGTAACGTTCAAGGCGTTTGATAACAGGCAACCGCATTTTTTATTTATATTTACAGGACAGCCACACTGAGTCATAGGACTCTCTTTGGGGGGGGGGGGAGGGGGTTCCTGCATTGGTTTCTTTTTTACATTTTGAGACATTTTCAGCCAATTAATGATGGGCATGTTTATACAAGTGGGAATGAAACCAGAGCGCCCGAATAAAAAAAACACCCACGTGCACGGGGGCAGCACCACTCTATCCCCGTACAGATGGAAACGGATGCAGATTGGTCCACTTGCTGTATCGCCAACTCCTGGCGAGTCAGGGCATGGCCGCGTGACGCCCACGGGAAAGGGAGTTTTGGCAGCATTTGTGTGCGAACCGCCAACCCTCGCTGCCTCTGCAGTGTTGGACGACGAGCCACGTGCGTAGCCACCGCCGTCCGACTCTCCTGAACGTATTCCGCCTTCTAACTGTACAATATAATAGTTGCCTCGTGTTTCTTGGGAATAACCTTTGTTCAAAGAGAAGGCAGCCAGCCTTGCAATCCCAGAAGTTTTCTTTGCATAATGTATATCGTACATATCACCAATTGGAAGTACATTTGAATGCATTCGCAGTTTTGCCGTATTATTATATTAGCATTTCTTTGAAAACATATTACGTTGCATTTTTTAAGCTACAATTTATATTTTTCATAACGCGTGTAAATCAACTAATTGTGCAATTTGCTTCCTTTTAAGGCTACTCGCAAGACTGGTACCCTTTGCCAGGATTTTGAACCATAGGTGGTCGGAGTTTGATATTAAATCCTCCGGTAATCTTGGCTGCAAACCGAGCTGGAATACATTCTTGGCTGCAAAGCGAGCTGGAATACACAATATTGCTGATATTGCTTGAAAAGTCTGCTTGTACCAGGTCACAAATGTTCACGTTGCTTAATTACAGCGTTTATGTATTTGTTTACATGCATTACCAAAGATAACCTTCAGCAATGCAATTTATTTTATTGGAACACAGCATTTTATTTTGCCAATTACATTGCAATTGTACAATCAGCAATTTGGTAGTTATCAGAGCATTTTCCATATAATCCAAAATTCTCACAAATGCACAAAACGCTCGCAAACCACATGCTATGTGGAGAACAATTGAGAAATATTACAATAAGCATTAAAATATATTCCTTACCGTGACCCACATTTTAAAATAAATTTTATGCATTTAAGCTGGATGCTGGATTCAATGCCACGTTTTGATTAAAGGCCTCTCCCGCAAAATATAAACAGCAATATGGACACACGACGGTCTCCTCTTAAGAGGTACATCAAGATGTCCTTCACATGCACCGCACAGCATGCCTGCAATCTGGCTCACCACTATGGAACTGGTGTTGGTGGACCGCAGATTTCACGTGCAGTGAAATTCCCAGCCTTGTTGTGCTGTGAGGTGGGCAGTAGGTTGCTGATACAGACAATGGGGGTTGTGCCCTGTTTGGCGAGTTTCCACTGCACATGTCTACGCCAGCGAGGTGGTGTATAACTCGCCGGGCGGTGATGGCGACACGTGCCTGTAATCGAGCACTGCGGAGGTCAGGGTTGGTGGATCGCACAAATGAACATTATGACCGCCATAATGTCCGTGATGCAGTCATTTTTAGTCTGTTGATGGTCGGCGATGCGGCAATCGACTCATCTCGACGAGCTGTACACGATGCACCATTCAAAGTTGTATTTTTCGATAACGGATTTTTTTATGCTGTTTGGCGTTTCGACATCGCGGAGTGGCACTGATTTCGTATTGATTGGTACCCCAGTCGCGGAGTGAAGTACAGCCCTGGAAAAAAATAGTGTCCCAGAAATAAAATATTTAATTGCCTCGGCCATTTAGTATTATTTGGTACCCCGGGGTACCGCCACGAGGATCAAATGTTGTGAAACTCTTCCCGTGGTGTGTATCACGGTGTCATACCCTCGCTAGCCAGGAGATGGCAGTATAGCGTGTACCATGCCGGCTCTCCATAGGCGCTCGCTAACAGCACTTGCTCCAACACTGTGTTCATGCTATATGGGGGAATCTTTACTTTTGTCATCTCCCAAGTGAATCGTTCTGCAAAAAGGAACAGAAAAACATCTAGATCCAGGATCCTCCTGAATAGTATTCACTTTCAGAGTCTCTCCTGAACATTATGATTCATTACCTATGGATTCCCGTGACGTCCTTCCACCGTTGTTAAAACAAGTACCAATTTGTGGGAAGTCAACAACAGTTGTGCCATGCCATGGGGAGGACTGGTCCCTTCCAAACGAATATGGAATTCACACCACTGGCAAGCCCCATGCTTGCCTGAGCTTGACGGAGCAGATATTTAGAATTTGTATATTACGGTGGCTACAGTGGCTCGCCAGAGTTTATCAGGCGCTGCAGAAAATACCCGACAGCACTGGCAAATTGCACTGCTGACCGGAAGTAAACTCCCTCTGCAAAAGCATGCAAAGCACTGGGGTGGTCGGCTGCGCTGTTGGACAGCGATTGCCCAAATATGCGGAGGACTGAATCTCACGCCGCACCTATCCGCCGATTAAGCATGTCGGTGAACTGAGAGCAATTACTATTTATTTTGGTTTTAAAAAAAAAATATTCTTCCTTTACCCGAGTGGACCGAGACCGTCGGATGTGCTTACACGTTAGAATCAGATAAACTGTTTAGCCACACAGGACTCAGCCCTATGTGCTCAGCGGTGCTGGCTCAGTCGCTCACGACACAGGAGAGCTACAATTAGTCTCCAGGGCCATCAGGCAACACCCCCCCCCCCCACCCCTCCCGTAACTGTTACATTTCTACCTTGCTGCCTTATCAGCGGCAAAGCCGGGATTTTCTAATGCGTAAACTAGGTCGTGATCATTATTTCATTCCACCTCATTTTATGTTTGTTGCCTTCACGTATCCTTTGACAAAAGCGATGCGGTCGAGGGATGTTGCCGTTTGTTCATGGCGGGGTCCTGGCAACAGTCGTGAGGTTTTAAAGCATCAGCACGAAAGATGAGAGGGGCCGTGAAATGTTTTCATAAAAACAATTAGCAAGCGTCTACCGGGTCACGTTTGTTTACGTTTCATTGCAGCAACGCCCAAACTTCATCTACTTCTGGAAATGTAAAATAAACACAACGTAACGCTCAGGCTATGTCTTCGTAGTCGAATCTCGCATGCTGGGGAGTGGCGTCACGGTGGTGGATGTTTGTACAGTTTGTTGACCTTTCGCACCGTACGTTTGTACAGTTTGTTGACCTTTCGCACTGTACGTTTGTACAGTTTGTTGACCTTTCGCACCGTACGTTTGTACAGTTTGTTGACCTTTCGCACCGTACATTTGTACAGTTTGTTGACCTTTCGCACCGTACATTTGTACAGTTTGTTGACCTTTCACACCGTACGTAGCCATCCGTGCTAACCGTAGGTGCGCGGGGGGGGGGAAGACAACAAACTCAACATACAAATCCGTTTTAAAGAAATTCGTTTTCTATCTAGATGATGATTTAAACGTGCATAACTCCACTGGCTTCCTAATATCGGAAGGAAGAGCGTTCCAGACGGCCGCAGAAGCGCATCAGAAAGCGCGCAATGCAGCGACCGTCTTTGTTCGGTGGTTAGCAGCCAAATGCTGCTGCGAGGACGACCGGAGTTTGCGTGATGGTTTACGCTCCAAGGTGTTGTGGTTCATTTGTGGCAAGCATGCACAACGTGCTGCACTATGAACTCGGCAAGCTGAGTTCAGTGCCCAGCCGTGGGCAACATGGGTGGCAAGTAAAAATCTGCACTGACCAGCGGCACTGTCCAATGTGGTGAAGTATGGCCAAACAACGCCTACGACCGACGTGATGCGGGAAGAAGGCCTTCATCCACCAAATGGATTGAGCAAAGGCTGAAATTGATGGCAATATAATCTCCAACGACTGCTCATAAATTACAACAATGAATACTATTTAAGATACAGAGACAAAAGGAGAAAACATGTAGTAATAAATGAAGCGAAAACGACGCATTCCACATATAAACAAAACATTATTTAAATAACGTGGTATGCCAATGAAACGGTTAAAAAAAGAAATGCTGTATGAAAAAAAAACCCTAATTATTTTCATTCACAGTGCACGCTGCATTTGCTTGTAAAGCGTTTGAAAATAATTCGTAAATTACAGCCGATTTAAGCCGGGCATTCCTTGTTACTGCTGCTGCTGAAAGGAGCGGATTTACAATTGCTCACGAGGGGTGGGCCTGAGCTGCGTGAGAGACCATCAATCTACCTCCGTTGCTGCGGAGCGTTCAGTGTTGGTAGTTTGCCATTGCAAAGGATTCGCCAGGGCTGAGCAGTTGGCGGAGTTTGCGGAAACTCCCCTCGTCCTCCATTTAAGATGCCAATTAAAATCCCGGTTAGAGATGACGCAGCACTCTATGAATCTAGGGGATATGGCAAAATGAGCAACCGCCTGATGAGTCTGTTACAACTCCGTGGGAGGTCAACTGGCCTGAGAAGAGACGGATCAGTGCTATTCGAACATGTAATGTCCACCATTGGCTGAGTGAGAGTGGCTCAAGATTTCCAATTTAGATGAGAATCGCCCAATGCTTTGTAAATTTAATGCTATATCAAAGTCCACTGAGTGGCATCTGGTCAAACTCGCACAGGGTGCTAGAGGCGCTCAGTCAGTGGTGTATATTCCACGTTTTTATGACAGGGACCAAATCTATCATAACACTACCACTGTTTACTTCCCACACCTGGTTAATCATTTCATTTACTTGGAGGGACCATGTGACTGAATCAACCGTTCTCAGGGTTTGCATGCTCAAACCCTCTGAATGTAATTTGGGCACTACGTTTAAGTGCCACCTGGTTGTGTTATTGACAGTAATTATGACATTATCAGTCCCTACAGCAGTCAATGTATTGTTAAATTGAGCCAGCAACTAACATGAGAGTCTACTTCATCACAAAAATAAAATACAAAACATATAGGTCACTCAACTAAGAGGCCATCACGGCCAATTGTTTTCTGGTTGCGTTTGTTTAAGCGGACAAACCGTGGATCGGTTTACATTTTTGAGATTATCATCAGCAAGAGAACTGGCCCGCCAAACGAATTCGTTTGGCTTGCCCGGTGTTGTAGGCAAGATCCACCCACAAACACTCCTGGGACCATCAATGATAGTGCAGTTTGTTTTTGCTGTTGAGCTAAGGTTGAACAGCTCAGGTTGAAAATGTTGGCATCCACTATTGTCCACATTCTACAGGTAGTAAAAGACCTACACTGAGTCAGGTCTGTTGGGAGCTTACTTGTGGGATGGTAATGTGCAAAGTAACCCCACCACCTCTTTTAACACTCATGTTCAGTGTGCAAGCTGAATGTATTTGACGATGAAGGTTGTCTTCTGAAATAAATACCATAAAAAAACTAAACAATTTGTTATTTTATCAGGTAAGGGTCCTAATTACAGGTTTTTTTTGGGTTAGATCTTGTAATACTGAATATAAATGTGGAATTAAACCCACCACCACCCAACACAGCCAATTAGTAAAGTTTGTCATGTAAACAGAACATGCCAATTCGTTATTAGTACAGCACACCGGTGTGTTGGAGAGCAAAGCCACACCATTTACAATCTGAGTACGACGTTCCGCCAGTAATTCCAACTAGCTTCATTCATCAGGCGACAGCCAGATTTGTGTTGGGTGGTGGCGGGTTTAACAACACATTTATATATTTACGCTATCTAACCCAAAAAAAGTGTAGTATAGAGGATATTGGTCGTGAAAGCCTACGAGTTAACAGGTAAGGCCCACTTGGACTACATAGCTTTTTTTCAGAAGCTACCTACCAACAAATGATACCTCAATGAAGTGACTCATCGAGTGGAAATTTATAGCAGCCAAATGCTCTAAATGCGTGTTTCTAAATGTGGAGGGAAAAACTGGAGGACCCGGAGAATAATCCACGCGACCACGGAGAGAAGAACATGCAAAACTCCAAATATAGATGACTCAGGGTGGGGATCGAACCCTCAACCTCCTGCGTACCAGGCGAGGTAATTAACATATCGCCACTCTTGCATATGCTGCGACTTAATTTATTCGACACTCCTGTCTGCCAGAAAAGGACGTGAAATGTGTGCCTCTCATTTGCATCAACTCGAGTGACCATCCAAGCGACTTTAAGTATATGCAGGCGGTTGAGCCACTGTTATTATGCACTCGACCTGGAACAACAACGAAAATACAATTCGCGAGGTGGGACTGTGGGGATTGAGGGCTCGACTCCAAACCGGAGGTTGCGGGTTCGTATCCCGGTTTGGGATCAAATGAACCCATCTTTCCTACGATGGGGAAATGGTTAAGATTATCAACACTTTCTGGGAAGTAAATAGTTGGTGGTAATACACAGATATTGACCTCTTCCAATTGCGTATCATCTTAGCTACCGATTTGGAACCAATGGTGAGTAGTATCATCAGTTTGGCGCACCCATTTCAGCAGGCAGACATTGCAAATTATCAATTCTGGTTCACCTGCATCACTGTTTTGATGTCATGGAACCTATTTTAGGTCCCAGATCAGGAAGCGCATTCACTTAAGATCTGAGCTCTTGTTATCACCTGGTGATGCTGATTGTGATCTCCTGTGAAACGTCGAACAAACTTGTTAACATTTGCTTGCTTTTCAGTTTTAACCTGTTTGTTGAAAAACACAATCAAATGGCACCTTTGTCCACGTGACAACTTAATTTGTTTGGCTGTGTTGGATAGCCACCAAACCACATTTGTTGACCAGGCCAATTCCCTGCTGATGTTAATCTGAAAGTTTAAACCAATCCATGATTTGTCTACTTTAACAAATGTGACCAGAAAATATTGGCCACGATGGCCTTGTAGCTGTTTGAACTAAATGTCGCTGTGTTTATGTGTGCCAATGAAGCAGACTCTTGCATGGCTGTTACATTTGTATCAGTGTCTCGTTCAAATTAACAAAAACACGTAATTCTGAGACACCGTTAATTTGTCTGTGCTTTCCAGTAAGCATAAGTGCTAAAGTCTACATGTGGAGTGAAAAATCGGAGGGACCCGGGGAAAAATCCACGCGACCATGGGGAGAAAGAGACATGCAAACTCCAAATATACAGGCCGCAGGGTTGGGATCCAACTCACGCCCTCCTGTATACCGGGCGAGGTAGTTAACACCTCCCGTTCGGAGAGTGAGCCTTGGCGGTGGGAGAGACGACGTACTTTCACAGTGGCTCTGTGCTGCTGGCTCAGTGCCGCTGGGAGCTCAGTTCTGAGCCACGACTGCACAAGCGGCTGCCAGCCCAGATCTGTCGGCTCCATGTAGATCATTCCACACCTGTGGCAGAGAGACGGACGGACAGGCGGCAAGAGGTCGTGAGGCAGCAGAACGCATGGATAATCAGAGAAGTGAGACGCAGAGAGTGTGTGCAATGAAGAGGTCATGAAGATAGATGATGCATTCCATCCTAAACCACAACTCACAATGCATTCCATCCTAGACCAGATCCCCCAAAAAGTTACACTGTTGACACCTGACCTCCCACAATCTGTCCTAAGGTATTCACCCGAGTCATAAACCTCTAGGTGCCCACTCACTACATGTTCAGTCACATGATCTCCAAACTTGCCAAATTCCAAAAATTACCTGCAAATTACTCAATTGCATTTACACATCAATCATCGCCCCCTACCAGCAAACTAATGCCTGTTTGCAGGCCAGGTGCTAAGTGACCTTGTATCCACGGGAGAGCTGCTACTGGGGGTGCTCAATTCAAATGCGTTGAGATGAGATGCGATGCTGTCGAGTGTTTTGAGATGCCCCGAAGTATAGGGCACGAAAAAAACCATTATTATTATTCATCATCTCCTTTAACATCCGTGCTCAACACATGCTTCAACCATTAACATGTCCCATTGTGAACTTTCAAATTGCTCCGGGACCAACGCGGCAACAAGCAGAATACGATGACTTGTGATGTTGGCAGGCAAGGGCAGCCACACACAAGGCAAGGCAGAGCATGTAGACAGATGTTGGATCGTTCAGAAATGAACGGGCGGTTAAAAAAACAATGTTTAACAATCAAGTGGCAATTGTGATCGTACACTACATTATACTGCTCACTTCACATTTAGGTTACAAGTTAAATTCTTGGTCAGGAGTCAATTCAGCCCTTCATCTCTCCAGGATCTATAAATGAGTACCACTTTGCAGGCGGTTGACTGCATTTGTCTTATAGAGAAAAGGGTCTCAGCCATAGGAATATGGAATTTCCATCACCAGCCTCGGACCACCAATGGCGATGAGCACTGCTGCAATGTGTGAGCGTGGAGGCACACTTTGACTTTTGACTACGTCATTGATGAGATTCAGTGAAGTCACAACTGTTTATAAGTTGCTTTATAAAGAATTGCTTGTATGGAAACGTTAATCTGCATCATTAACCAGGGGTCAAAATATAGTTTTCTTCAAGCAATTAAACATATAACAGTATTTATTTATATTTTATTACATAATAAAGAGTGCGAGTGTGTTTTTTTTCATTTTCGCAAATATCACCTGCATGATTTAATCCCCCAAATTAATTCCCATATTCTTAGAAGCTCCTCAATGCTGCTGCTCAAAGTGCCCCCCCCTCCCACCCACCTCATGTGATGAACTAAACTCGGTTTAAATACCTTCCGTGTGGTGGCCTCACAATCTCTGGAATAACCGAATGAAAACTTTTGGGATCAACACCTTACCATCCTTGTCCTACTCTAAATCAATATTGGACCTCGGATTTCCTTTCAAGTCTGCGTGCAATTCATCCTCTCTGCTTTGCAGACTTTACGCTGTTTTTTTCCCCAATATTACCGACCTTGGTGCTGCTTTGCATCCAATAATTGCTCGCGTGAGATGCGTTCTACCAGCCTCGTTGTATTCTTTGTAGTGATTGTACCATGCTGATACACAACCTTGCCAATCGGAACTTGACCATGTGCAGTCGGTTTGGTATTGGTTTGTTCGTGGGTTTTGTTTGCTGTAACCAGGTGTCTATTGTGTAACCAGATTCCACATCGAATCGGTTTTACCTGTGCCAAACTAAACCAACGGTAACTTTATGTCACGTCAGTTTCACATGTAGACTTTCGCGACGAATATTGATTCCAATTAAAGGGGGTTTTTTTTGGTCAGATCGCGCAAGTATAAATGTGTCGTTAACCCACCACCACCCGACACAGCCAATTAGCAAGGTTTGTCACGTAAACAAAATGTGCCAATTAATAATCACCAGCAAAACGTCGTACTCAAATTGCAAATGTTGTTGAATTTACGCTCCAACAAACCGTTAGGCCGAAGTAGTATGCATATGCATGGCTGCAATTATCATAAGAGTAAAATATGTTCATACAAGCCCCGTGACTGACACAGCATTGAGAGGCCATCCAATAGTAGATTGACACAGGGCTTCACACTATTGTATTGTGTGTATTGTTAATGACGATTATGTACAGCCAGGGTAGCCCACTGTAAGCTGTTCATGAAAGTCTGCCACGTGTTGTTTTTGGGAATACCATGTGTTTATTGTGTCTGGTCGTTAATGTCCATGATGAGATTAGGGAGTATGGTTTATACGACGTCCAAGCTATTACAGCTGTTAAAATAACAAACCTTGACTCCGATATAAGCACACCAACTGAGAAAATCGAAACTCCATGACGTTACATATCTACAATGATAATATTTGCACTTAACCTTAATTGAATTCGGTTTTGTCATTTTATTTTATTGTTGCAAGCAATCATGGGCCCGAATGGAACAACAAACTTTCTCAACAACTAAACATTTATATAAACATATTGAATGAATTGTTTGTTCATCCACCTGTAGCCAGCCTGCACCCACAATGCACTTAGGGTACCACCAACAGCAGGTAGGCAACGTGTGGCAAATCGGCACAGGCAATACTTAACTAAATGTATTTCGTTCTGCCTTAAGCAAAGTTAACACTGAACCCAAAACATACAGCGATACATACTCGCAAAACCACGGATGTTTATGCCTCCATGCAACCACACACACAAAGACAACGATCCTCCCCCTGTCGCCTACACAGGCTGTTGGGGCAAGTTCTGTTTGCGAGCAGCACCTATCAAGGCCGAAACAGCACACGACGGAATGGGTGGCCAGCACCACAACCTGTCCACCTTCGTCTCCCCATCCCCAATATTTATATACCACACCAGGTACTCATTTAAGGCTGAGTGAAAGCAAACATATATAAAGACAAAGATCCCCCGTATAGTCTTAACAGACTGTTGGGGCAAGTGCTGTTAGCGAGCACCTATGAAGGCCGGCACGGCACACGAGGGGGTGGGTGACCAACACCACGCCCGGCCGCCTTTGTCTCCCTAGTGGTGATGCTTACACATCACATCAGGTACTTATTTGAGGCTGAGTCGGCCTCGCGGAGGTGCAGGATCTGTTCAGGTATCGTCACTGGTGTTGGCCGTAAGCGGGAACCGAACCGGGGTCGCCAGGTTCGTAGCGCAGCGTGCTAACCCTAACACACACACAGATTGGACTCCTCTCCCAAAAGGGTAACTGAATGCTCATGGAAAGACACAGGAATGAGTCATGAACGGGTGATGTTTGAAACAGATGGCATGACAAGGAAGAGTAAAAACTATATTTCGGTGATAGCACTATCAATTTTACAATTAAATGGCAGCGGTTTGACTACTGCAATAATGGCATGACAAGATCTGAATATTGTAATGGGTCCTTATTGGAACTGAATACAAATGCAGTGTTTGACTTTACGCGGACAACTTCTGTCTTTCTTCAAACACCGCTTTATTTACATCATTCAACATGTCCTCCACGCTCCACAGTATCTTGGTCACCACGGCTCGCTCACCGTGCTCCGCTCGTCTCGCTCGCCACCTTTGTCTCCCCACTATCACTTCACTTCTCCGCACACAGCGTCTTCGCACACAGCGACTTTAGCTCCGCTATCACTACGCTCACTCCACTGCTAGCTATCTCGTTCACTATAACTCTGTTAACTCTGCTGTCTCTTCTCAGCTCCGCTTTGCTCTCTCCACTGCTGGCTATTCTCCTCAGCTCCTCCGCACACAGCGTCTTCAACTTCAACCCATCTCTAAGCTCTTCACCATTCAACCACCTCTCAACAACCTCCTCAGTTGACTCCGACTCCCGCTCTTATACCCCTCTCATTACACCCCCAATTAATTAACCCGCGTCTCAACAGACCTCCGTGTGACCATCGCACCTGTTTCTCGCCAGACTTCTCGACGCCTCTCCAGCCCCAGCAACAGTACCAACCAATCACCGCCATTGCTGATCTTCTGGCTTAATTGGACCAACCGTTACCTCATCATTTCAGACTTTGCACTTGCCTGTCCTAAGACGACCCACACAGTGTACGCCTTCTCCATAGGCTGACCCCAGATAAACCCACACTGTCCGTGTGATCATGCAACCGGGCAATTTCCACAACACACCTTCATACTCCACTACAGTTATACTAGCCATCGACATAAGGAGACTAGTGTTGGCATCATGTAGAGAGAATGTTATTCAGCTTGAAATAACATATAGATAATCTAACGATGACTTGCCCTTTTCTGGGTCATAATAGCCAAAGAAGCAAATACATACTCTTTGGTTCTATTCGGTAAAGTCACGTAGGTAAAAAAATAAAACAACAAAAATCACGACGTTTCGGCCACAACATAAGTGGCCTTCTTCAGGTGAAAGGGACAGACTTGTTGGGACGAAGCTCTTGTGTTGTGGCCGACGAAACGTCGTGATTTTTGTTGTTTTATTTTTTTTACCTATGTGACTTTACCGAATAGAACCAAAGAGTATGGATCCTTGCAGTCACGAAAGCTTCAAATCTAGAATAGAAACAAATAAATCTGCACTGGTTTCAACTTATTTGAGTCTTACCATCTTGGTATAGCCTGAAATATCAGTGACAATGGCGTACAGTACGTGAACAGAGTGTGTCAGAACATCGTATGGTTCAGCGGTCTTGTGCATGACCCCAGAAGGCCTTAAGTATCCACAGCAAACAGTGCGCTTTGGTAATAAGTCTGAGAAATTAGCCGACAGCTATGGGAATAGAATCGTTAACCTTGTAAAAACTGGCTCGGTGGCAAGCGTGCTAATGACTAGGCTACCCAGCCGACTAATGCTGCTGCTTTTTCTTGCATTATCATTAAAATGATGAGCAAAAAAGGGAGGCGTTGCAGAGACTATTGATTACCAGCACACAGCATTCCTTATGGCAGCTACTTGGCAGCTACTATGAACAAAATGTGTAAAGAAACCCGCAAAATTAGACAGTCGCTCTCAACTAGGGCAAGGAGATTTGTCTGCTTAAGAGTACGAAATATATCCTAACGCTTTGTAAGAAAAGGTCATTATACACCAGCGATTTGACCAAATATAGCTAGCTCTAATTGCCTCCTGATCTTGTGTAATTAACCAAGTGGAAGGAAGCTACTGTGCCATACATATTCAAGCTATAGCTTGAAAATAAAATAAAACATTTCTCACAAAGGAGAGTGGGGATTGCAGAACCCATCAACCAATCAAGTGTCACCACGCAGCCATGAATGTTGGTTGATGTTCCTTTATACATGATAAACAAAAGCATGCCGATGTTTCCATCGGCAAGCATAGGCAATTGACCCAGGATGTTTGTTTCTGCCCCTCTTTGTCAAGAATATGACCATATATTTACGTATTCTCAGCCAGGGCAAGCTCAGCAGCTGTTTAGCCAGTTTGAACATGTGAGAATATAATCATATATAATGAAACAAATGTGTGTTCTTGATTGCCACATGGGCTTGCTATCTGCAAACAGAATCCACATTCTGTGATGTGAGCTCTGCCATTACAGACCCCTAACAAGACGCATCATGAAAGCTAATTTTGAAAACAGGCTTTGTATGTAATAAAACAGTTAAATGCACACTGGCACAACAACATGTAAAGAGATAACAGTTGCACGGTCATGACTCAAGGGATCCGAGGGTCATTAATTAGTTGACCGTTATTACAATCGAGGGTACTGCTGCATTGTCACGTTACCCAATTCGTAAAACCTATGGCTGCACATTGCTGGGACATTCATGAAATGATTGTTATTTTGTCCTTCACCCGCACCTCGGATGAGCACGGTTGGCAATGTACGGCGCTAAAGAAGTTCAACGTACGTACCTACGTATTTACCCAGAAAAGCCTCAAGTAATTCTGAATTTTTTTTTTCTTCCAGGAGGGTCCTGCTTAGGATGTTTGATCAATTCCTCACTGAGTGTTTTTTTTTTTAGGATGTGACGAAAGCAGACGCCCTCGATAAAACGTACGTATAATAAGGAGAGCACAAGTACATGCAGCAGATGTCAACGGCCTCCTTGCTGTACTGCTTTCCACAGGCTGTCTGTAGCCTTGCAGGTGATTGTCTCCGGCATACTGCGTCAGCACAACCCACTAGGCCATGCTGCATGCAGCGCGTCACAAGCGCGCACCGCCACACCCGTGTCCCGAGTAGATGACAATTTGCTCTGTCTTGCACTCAACGCGTGCACAAGTTGTGTATGGGTTTTCATTCGTTAGATTCACATCTTGACAAAACGGCCAAAACACATCATCTTCGCGAGTTTCTTAATGCCGATAACGGATACATTGGCACGTTTTATCAAAATAAATTGGATGACAACATTTGGGCAACCTGTGAACTGGGTCCTCACGTGTTTTCTTTGAAAATTATTTCCACCGTAAAGTTTTTTTGGGTTGTGCCATGCGTATCGTTCAGCACGCTGTCCAGACGTTTCGCTCCCCTTGCCGGGAGCTTATTTCAGGAGCTCCCTGCAAGTGGAGCGAAACGCCAGACGTGACACAACCGAAAAAACGCACCGCAGAGCTGTACAGCACAATGGCCAAAAGCCAACGCAGTTCCGTTGTGATTGTCCTGCAGGCTCGCAGATGGGCGACCATACCTGCTCACAGTAGCTGGTGAGGCCTGCTCCAAGTCCAGCACCTCAAAGATCATGTTCTGGTGCGGTGTCATCTGGATGATCTCTCCGCTCATCAAGCACAGCTAAATGGAACAAACAAAAAAAAGGGGGGGGGGGGTGTTTATTTATCACCATTGAACAAAGACGGTCACCGCATCGCGCGCTTTTAGATGCATTTCTGCGGCCACTTCGAATGCTCTTCCTTCCGATATTAGGAAGCCACTGGAGTTATGCACTTTTAAATATAGAGATTGAAAACGTATTTCTTTAGAACTGCATTTTGTGTTTAGTTTGTTGGCTTTCCCCCGCACCGCCGATTAGCACGTTCGGCTACGTATGACGCGAAAGAAGTTCAACATACGTCCATACATGTTAATTTTCATCATTCATGATCATGACTGGATAACAACAGTTACTTATATACCCACAAAAACCTTCGTGAGCCTCCAGACACCAACTTGCTGGTGGAACAATATCCGTGAAAGTGAAGGGGTGTGCAATTAAACTGATTTTTTTGCTGTCTTTAGAACATACATTATTTCTTATTTATAACCTCTACATAAAGAAGCCTAAATGACTAGCTTTACTTGGAAAATTTGCCTGCTATTTTGAGTAAAACAATATCAACGAACACCGTTTGTTCTTTAATATCCACCGGCCAACAGTCGTCATGCTATTGAGATACTGGTCCCCGCCATGAGAACATGGACTTTCCACCTGTATTCAGGAACACCACCAGAGATGAGTGCAAGACCCACAGCTCATTTTTTAACAGGGAGGCGCTTTGATTCGAAATAATAATTTCTTAAAAAAGAATAACATGCTTTAATCACTGGCAGGCATGGAGAATCGTGACTGGCTTTCTGAATTTCTTGAGGTCTACTTAACTGAAACGTTGAGATATTCCTTTCCTCTCAGTGATTAACTTGTTATTTTATGTATAAGTTCACTGAAGCAGCAATGTGATAATTACTTTGACTGAAAATAACTCAGAGCAGTCTGATAACAACTATTTAACAAGCTGCACAGCTTCTCCAATATTTTAAGCTCAGTGAACAGTTTCCCATTATTGTGCGATATGCCATTACACATTACAGATTTAAAAAAAAATTCCCTCTCCCAGACTTATCCAAATGAGGAAATCGAGTGTATCAATGCCAAGTAAATCATTCTGCTGGTCAAAGCAGACTTGCGAAATATAATTAACTTGTAACCTAGCCAAAGCTTACCCGAGGAATGCCAGCAGAGGGATTGGGGAATTGCTGATTCTCTAATTACCACCTCATACTCGTGTGCGTCCTCATTATTGCCGATGGGACCTCAACATCACTGTGGGAATGGCAACTTACAAGCACAGTTGGTAGATCATATATGCAACGCTTCAAAACGCCGGGCAACACCATGCCTTGCCTGAAGCAGTATAGCAAGTGGGTCTGTATGAGCAGAGGTTGAGTGCTCTTCCCTTGCATCTGTGAGTACTTCTCCAGGCCACCTTCTGTTAACATCTCACCATGGTGGCGAGATGTTAATTACCTCGCCTGGTATGCAGGCAGTCACGGGTTCGATCCTGACTCAGATGCCTGTATATTTGGAATTTGCATGCCTCTCTCTCCCCTTGGTTGCGTGGAGTTTTCTCCGGGTTCTCTGGTTTTTTTCCTCCACGTTTAGAAATATACGTTTACAGTATTTGGCTGCTAAAAAATGTTCACCTGACAAGTCACTTCAATTAGCTATCATTTGTGGCCAGGTCGCTTCTGACAAAAGAGAGCTGTATAGCTCAGTGGACCTTACCTAGTGAAAAAACATTGTTTAGTTTTTATCGTAAGCAAGAAGGAAACAAAAAAACTAGCCGAAAGCTAATTTGGCTATCTTGTAAAAGAAGCCTTGAGATTCAGCGAGGGTTTTATTTAAAAAAAAAATCCATGCTTGTGTTGTAAGTCATCGATGAAATTTGACTGAATTAGATTGCTGAATCAAGTCTGGGCCTTCTTGGCCTCGCCACTTCTCCGGATCCTCAACAACAACTACACGAAGTGAGTGTGCTTCTCAATAATTTCTCAAGCCCGAATTTCTAAAACTGCTCTATGAGATGCTCATTAAAGTTAGATTATAATTCGTACAACAGACCGTGAAGAAATCAGTCGTCATTAAACCTTTCAAATGCGCTATAAAGTGAGCATCATTCCAAAGATTACCGTTGAAAATCACTGTATTGTGCATGACATAAAAAAAACACCTTTGTGAGTTCTCACCTGGTTAAATAAACTTGAGACGTGATATATGAAGGCAGACACAAACACATTGCACATAAAATAAGTATCATTCTGCTTGGTTTGAATGATCCTCATTTAATGCGCACTGCACTACGCACCTGGCGACCCGAGTTTGATTCCTGGCCATGGCTAACGTTGCTGGTGAGTGATATCTGAACCCGTCCAGGGACTCCACTTTCCCGATCTGCACTGACTGACATTTTGAAGTATGGTCAAACAATGCCGTCGACCAACACGGCACGGCAGGGAGGCCTTCATCCAGTGTTGCATTGACAGACGGCTGAGTTATGGTTTTACTCGCCGGGTTCTCAGCTGGCAATAAAGAAACTATATATATTTTTAAACGGCCAGTGCCCAAAACATCAGCAGATTTTATATGCAGTATATACATTTTTTTCCCCCGTGACATCGCAACACTGTTGACTCAAGAGGTGAATTGTCTTTTATTTTTGCATTAGATTTATGCTAGGAAAACCTTTAACAAGGGACACAAGAGTCACGTTAAATTGACGAAGGGCGACCAAATAATTATGATGCTTGCAAAACAAATAGCAATCGCCAACGTGAATGAGTCCGTGTTATTTCTCTACTCCAGTCGATCCACATGGAAGGTTGTGGTGAAGATACATTTGGAGCCCCGCAATGGCTTGCTTGTGCCACTGCTGGCAGAAGGGGCCCCCAACTGCAAAGGAACTCTATAGATGGGTAATTTGGGCTATTCATCCATGCTGGCGAGATGTCTTGGAAGACCTATGGCTGTGCAGTTGCACGACGCTAAAGTAAGAAGCTTTTCCATTTCATGCAAGGGTTGACACGGGGATTTAAAGTCCCTCTGCTCTAAAGCTTATAATTGACAGTGTTTTACAATGTTTTAAATATGCATGCGTGCTGGGATTTGGCTAACTGGACGTATTGGCATGTTATATTCAATCAGTGGGAAGCGGTGGAGAAATGCCGTATAATCTAGGCTGCCCGGCGGGAATGGAGGGCTTGGTTAGGGGGTGGTGGGTAGTGGGGGCTCTGAGCTAGAGAGAGGCAGCTCTGGTTTATGGCTGTGTTGTTTATACAACATATATCCCATATATATATCACTGCAAGAAGGCAGAAGTCTGAACAACTTCCCTCCAACGTTCGTTAATTTAAAACGCTCTCTATTGACCGGTGGGGTTGTGTGTGTGCGGCAGCGGTGAAGAAAACAACGTCAGCCAGTGCTGCAGCAGGAGCGGCAACTTGTAGGCCAAGCGGGTCAATGTAAAAAAAAAGAAGCTGGAATGTAATCTTGACAAACAGCACTTTGCCTACTCCTGAACCACTAAGTATTAACGAGCACAATTGTCTTAAACCGCACAGTATCATGCACGCATGTGCAAGGGACAGGTTTAAATTCATGGGGCATTGTTCATATTATTATTTAATTGTATCCTTTATTTACAATGTGATCAAAGGGGGATAGGTAACTTGATGCGATGTCAGTCAGCCAATGAGCGGTACATTACTTTAAGTGCAATATTTTCCGACACTCTGGAATGTAAAATGCACTCTAAACTTGTGCCGAGTGTCAAAAAAGTTTTACAAATCTGTTCACACACACACACTGGCTATATCATAAAGATTCAAATATTCCAAACTATTTTAATTTTATCAGGTATCGCCCACTGAACTACTTTTGTATTATATTCTTAGCTCTTTCGGTAAAGTCACGTTGAAGGGAAACAATAAAATAATAAAAAAATATATAAAACAATACAAATTCTCACGACGTGGTCACAAATGATAGCTCAACGAAGTGGCTTATCACGTGGAAAATATATTGCAGCCATACTCTGAATGCAATGTTGATCCTAAATACTGGGGGAAAAATGAGTAATATAATCCAGATAATGCGCCATTCAATCGTGATGGTTGCTGCGCAGAGAAAATTCATATCTGACGGTACTGAAACTCAGTGGTTGTTTAAGCTGAAAAGTAAAATTTCAACAATTAAACTAAAATGGCCACAACATGACTTCCATAAAATGTGGATTTAATCTCAGGCAATTGATCAGATTATAGTCAGTCATTATTCAGACCCCATTAAATTCGCCTCAACGGTTATTAGCCCATATGCTACTGGCATGTGATTTTAACATCCGCTGGTCAGGCATGCGTTGGTGTCTTCAACGTGGAAATTAGTTTCTCTAAAACTGCACATCGTTTGGAAGCTGCACATGAGCAGAATGAGCGCACTCTGATTAAGCACGCATTATCTGACTCGGAATTTTAAACGGAGGCAATAGGCTTACGTATTCCGATAGCAGGTAAAGGTGCAGCCCTGCAATTGCTTGCTCGCGCCACTGCTGGCAGAAGGGCCTCCACTCAAGACGGCCCATGTGGACAGTACTCGGTCTACCCCGCCCACGCTTGCCAGACGTCTCGGAGAGCTCAGAGTGCTTACACTTTACCCCACTGCAAGTGGCCTGCTGATCGATCAACTCTAGTGTACCTAATTATATGGTAACACATGTAAATTAGATGTTAACAACCTCGCCTGGTACACAGGAGGTCGTGGGTTCGATCCCGACCCTGACGCCTGCTGCTGTATATTTGGAGTTTGTTTGTCTCTCTCTATAGAGATGTTAACTACCTCGCCTGGTATACAGGAGGTCGTGGGTTCAATACCGACCCTGACACCTGCTGTATATTTGGAGTTTGCGTGTCTCTCTCTATAGAGATGTTAACTACCTCGCCCGGTATACAGGAGGTCGTGGGTTCGATTCCGACCCTGACGCCTGCTGTTGTATATTTGGAGTTTGCGTGTCTCTCTCTCTCTC